TTTTACCATTCGTTTTACCATTACTTGTCTCTTTGACGAGTTGTAATATAGTGCCACGAATGGCGATACTCACTGACGATGCCGGCGAAACGTCTGGGGATGTACCACGTCCACGGTCCGACTTTGGAAATAATTATGCATACAATGGACTCCGGACTGGGTGCGTTCCTCTAAGTCGTCCTACCAACATGACCAAGTTGCGAAAACAAGGTCAAACAACCTCTATACTATCCTTTGGTCTATCTGACGAACAAAAGACGGCCAATCCAGTCTGAGGCGTTCGGACTAGACCGGCCCTCGAGACATCCTCAAATCGGTAGCAGTGAACAGTGGCTCAGCTGACCTCTAAACATCGTTGTCGTAACAACTAGAAGCCCACATCGACTCTTGTCCACATGCCATATTATGTGCCTTGAAACAAATAACATTTGGAGGCAATAGAAGGGTTCGGTTATCTCCTTTTCATATCCATCTGTGCTCATACTCGTTTTGGCTTGTCGTTATGTGTGAATGCCCACGATCCATCATAGACGGCCTGGGCAGATTAGCTAAATTTGACCATAGTCTTACCGATTTGACGCCGCCACGCCAAGGTAATTGCGTAGTGATCCAAGTAGCTGGCCAGCCACCCTATGGCGATTCGCTGTTTGAAAGTGACCCTTTCCCACCTTAATGCTTTCTCGAGCTCTCTTCCACTTTTCAACCGACCCTGTCATTTAGCTCTCCCTCGGGCCGAGCAACAGGACCTTGTAGATTTATTCTTTTTTGCTGCAAATGCCTCCTGTCCTCCGCGTCTGAGGGAATGCAGATAACGTCAACTTTCTTCCCTAAAGCCTCCCTACTCATCTACATCTGCCTACTTCTCATGCGTGTATGCGTGCAGGCGTGTATGTGCTCGAGTGGGTCTGTGCGTGCGTGCGTGTGTGCAGAGCTGAAAGTCAGATGACTATTTGTCCGAAAAATGTGAATAGCCACACATTTACTGACATTCACATCGTGTCCATCTTGATAAACATCACCGTCCTTATGAGTCAACAATCTCCTGTTCGTAACCCATTCGAGCTGTCGTCTGATGGTTGCTTTACCTCTCTCTACTGCAAAGAAATGTATATTTCCCATCAATTTGTAATAACATAATTATAGTCTGAAACATATACACATATGTGTATATGTAATATATATGAATAGATTATATTTTATTAGTACAATGTTATTATTATTATTAGTCAGGTGGCTATTTATCTTAATGATTTACATGCATATAAATTGTATGACGTACATATCTTGTCTATATTGATATTCATCAGCATCCTTATATATAAACATCTATTTAAATCAGATTATAATTAGATAAAGATGAATTGATGGAAAATCTACATTTGGTTTCAACAGAAGGCAAAGCCGCCATCATCCCATTGCTGGAATGGAATTCGAATGAGAGATTTTTGACTCAATGATGGAGATGATTACCAAGATAGGCACGATATGTATGTCATCAAAATTATATGCATGCAAATTATGAGGATAAACAGCCATCTGACTATTAATGATTATATTATGAGAAGTATATATATATATGGATAGATAGATAGATATATAAAGCCAAATAGCTTATTTTTCTGGAACCTTTACTACTCTCTGAGGGCTAAAGTAGTAGTCGATTGAATATTCCATCCTTGCCCAGTAGTGCCTGATAGCAGAGCATGACACCTATTGCTTCAATTTCTGTATGAGACCTGACTGATCGAGGAGCCGCGACTGGCTCGAGTCCGCATAAGCGTGCTTCAAAATTGTCGACCGGCTTGGATGAATAAGTTCTTACGGGATTGGCGACAAGAGGAAAACTGACTGCAGGATAAAGATAATACGTTATTGAGTAGGTTTTCGAGATTGCTATAACAAATATAAGTTTGGTCGAAGGTATGAACACCAGCATGGTGTGGCCTTTTATATGGTCGTCGAAAGGCAGAAAGATATGCACAGGAACGCGGGGTTCAATGGATGGACAATAAATTCACTAATAAAAAAGGACGCAATACCACCAACAGCCTAGGGGTTATTGAAGATACACAACGAAGAAGAGCCACTAAGGCTGATAGTTAACAACAACTTTGGAGCAACACACAAATTAGCCAAGTTCATATGTTTGAAACTTAAGAAGGTAAACGAAATATTGTCAAGCAGTGAGGCATTCACATGAATTTTCTTAAAAGTTCAAAAACATAACACTAAAATAAACAGAATTTCTGGTAAGTTTTGATGTACAATCTATGTACACAAACATTTCTGGAGAAAAGACGCTGACGGCCCTGTTATAGATTTTGGATCGAGAAGAGGATATCCTAGAAGCAGAGAGTATCAGAAGGGAGTCGTTAACACGACTAATCAACTTGACAATAAGTACTACCTACTCCACATTCAATGTCAACATTATTGAACAGACATTTGGACTTCATATGGGATCACTTCTCTCACCTCTATTGGCAAATGTATATATGCACAAATTAGAAGAGAATTTTAAGGTATCCCCGCTGCAACCAAGAGTTCTTATACGGTATCTGGATGACTACTTTGCAATATGGTGGCATGGAAGAGAAAAGTTGAAGGATTTCCTGAAGTTTATAAACGGGATTCATGAAAAAATCAAATTCACAATGGATGTAGAGGAAAAGGGCCGTTTGTCCTTTCTACATGTGGAGGCTATTCGCTCTACTGGGACACTCGAGAAGAAATTGTTCCGAAGGAGGTCATACGCCGGAATAATACTCAATTTCGAATATCATCACAACTACAGAATGAAGATGTGCATACTGAGGAGCATGATCATCCGAAGCCTACGATTAACGGACGTGGAATTCTTGGATGAAGAATTGGAACAATTGACTCAGATATTGCTCGATAATGGATATCCGAGAGAAGTAATTCGAAGGAACATACTGGCCGTGAAGAGCCAATGGCAGGACGGAGAAAGATAAAGATGGAGCAAGACCCAAAAAAGTGGATATGCCTACTTTCCTGCGAACTAACTCAAAACTATGGCCAGTACAAAGAAAATGGAATATT